AAATAAAAATAAAATTATATCGTTTGTGACTTTAGAAATGGCACTATATAATTCCATAAATGGTATTTTTAAAAATAAATAAATAAATAAATCAATTCTAAAAAAAATCAGAAATGGCACTATTATGTTTTAAAAATAAATAAATCAAAATGGCACTCCCATCTTTCGAACTTCCATTTTTTAGATTTAAAAATGCCCAGAACTTTTTAAAATATGAATTAGTATGAATAAAGAACAAACTAAAAAACAGATCTAAAATTTTTAGTCTAAATCGTTGGAGTCTCTCATTTTGAGATCCAAAATTTGCAGATCTAGAATATCATTTTTCAGTTTGAATCTCAAATGGAAACAAAAGCAAATTAATGGAGTAACAAAAAATTCAAGAGAAGAAGAACAACACGGGAGAAGGCAGACGAGGGGGGGAGAAGAAAGAGAAGAGAAGAAGGAGAAGAGAAGAGGGGAGAAGAAGAAGAAGAAGAAGAAGAAAGAAGAGAGAAGGAGTAGAGGAGAGGAAGAAGATTACCGGAGATGAACGATCGATCTCGTCAAAGAAGAAAGTATCATCTTCGCCGGAGTAGCGGTGCAGCAAGGTCATCTCTTCGCCTCTGCCTCTTCGCCTCTTCGATGATGCGCAAGAGAGAGAGGAACGGACGAGCTAGTTGCTGGGCCTTTCAAATTAATTAGGGACTGGATAGTTTTATGATAAGAAGGGTAAATAAGTAATGTGAACTCTTATTTTGGGAATAAAAATGAGTAACTCTTATTATGGAACTTTTAGTATGTTTTACTCTTATCTAAGGCAAATTCAATAGTCTTTATGTAGATAGATATCCAATAGTCTTTAAGTAGATTAATTAATTTCTACATTATTCTTACACAGCCCTATGGTGATGCCAAGTTGCATGGCAACACTTTTAAAATAGGCATTTGTTATACATTTTTCTTTTAATAACCATTTTTTTAAAAATATATATATATCATTTTTATGACCTTTTATATGATCTCTCACTTTTTGAATACTAGTAGTAGATGATTTCGGAAAATACTTATTTGATTTTTATTATTTATTATATAAACTATTACTCTATTAGTATGACTAGGAGATAGACTGTATGAAATGGTCAATATTATATACTCGATAGGGATTCAACTCAGTCTCTACGATTGGATTTAAACAAAAGAAAGAGTGTGTATGTGTTGTAATAATAGCGCAAATAGTAATATGCACCATTGTTATTTCATCAAAATGTCAAGACAGTAATATGAGCTCTATTTTGAATAAGTAGTGATTTTGTCGATTCTGACACATTGACATGCTCAAAAAAAGGTCAATCACATAAATAATGAGCTGTATTTTCAAATCAATATTGTGCTCATTAATGTATATGCATGTCTAACCAAGCATTCCAGCCTAGCTGGTTGTGAGGTTACCGTGCCTAGTGGGAGGTCTCGAGTTCGAATCCCGCTGGGCACACAAGGGTTGGAAACTCAATGGAGTGAGTTTCAGCCATGATTACTCCAGGATCCCCCAGCCCCCCTCCAAGTCTCCAACAGACCCACCCCTGGAGTAAAAAAAAATAAAAAAAAATAATGTATATGCATGTCTATATATACTTATATACTGCCTTAGTTTGCTTTCATTTATTCAAAAAATAGCCATTTCGGTGAAGAGGATTTAGCCGTTCGAATTTTTATTTTGTCTTCAATTATGATAAAGAAAAATGTAAATAGTACATTTAATGGTTTTTGGTATTTCTCAAAGCGTTGACTAAAAATCCATGCTTTGAAAGACCGGGTCTGTTATTTTTTTTAAAACGAGTAGTTAGGGGGTGTTTGGATCTAATTCTTAAAACTGCTTCTGCTCCTTCAGGGAGCAGGGGAGCAGAAGCAGAAGTTGGAGTGTTTGGGTGAAAGTCCAAAAGTGATTCTGGCACTCAAATTTACTCCTAGAATCAGTTTTTTTAGAAGCTTGGGGTGACCAGCTTCTGAAAACTGATTCTAATTCTGCTTCTGATTTAAAAAAGAAGCAGAAGCAGAATCAGTTCCAAACACCCCCTTAGTAAATTTAACATTTAAAAGTTTGCTTAAAGGACGGATTAAATATTTCATATTGTCATAGAGGTGAATTTGAATTTTATAAAAAATATTGGTTCCATAAATAAACAGAAAATAACTATTGTGACATGCGAAGGTCACCAAGTCATCTTTTTCAGGTCAGTAAGTGCTATCATTGCATTCGCAATGGATTAAGTTGATATTTCGGAAATAATATTTCAATATGGGCATGTCAATCAAACGTGATTTCAGCTGAAGTAGGTTCAGTGTCCATCTTCCACTAAGTAATCCCGCTTATATAAATGTAAATGAAAGTCTTCAACATCTAATACTCTTCAACACAGGTTTTTTTCCCAAAAAAAGGATGACACCCCAAGGGTCCCCCACCACCGACCGGACGGCACGATGGGAGGATGTAAATTGGACTATAATCACAATCTGACAGATAGAGAGTGGGGCTCTGTCCCCGGTACTTGCAGAGACCCTATGCATTTTTCAGCATAGTAACCCCTCATCGCAGTTGCCGGGATTCGAACCCGAGACCTAACCCTTATGGCACTCCCTTGCTACCAGTTAAGCTACGCCCACTGGTACAGGTTTTTTTTTTTGTTTTTTTTTCCCAGTTGCATAACAAAGTTGAAGTTTTTCTTCACATTTTCATTGCTCTTCATATCTTATTTTCCTGCCAGGTGATTATTCTTAATATTTTTACGCACTTCTTTTTTTATTATTGCACAAATATAATAAAAAAATTGAAATAATAAATGACAATTTTCCCCAGCCTTACTCTTTGATTTTTAATCTCGGACAAATGTTTACTCTTCATATTTCAGTTTTACTACATTATTTTTGTTCTTTGTTTAAAATCATGTTTAACCGGTGTGAGTGTCGAACAAAAAGTGTTAATTCCTAGATCAAGACTGCTTTTCAAATTCCTAGATCAAGACTACTCGAACCACAGAGAACATCATCTACATTTCTCACGCATGCAAAAGAAATGTTCATTTTTAATTTTTTTTTTTTTTGGGAATATGAAGAAAATATGTTCATTTGAAAGGCTTACAGTTTTACATATACTTGAAGCATACAGGAAACTAGACACTACAATAAACAAGTGATTTTACTACACCAACTCACCCAGGGGCGGATTGGGCCTAAGGCCAGGGAAGGCCTAGGCCCAGCCTCAATTTTTTTTATAACTAGTAAATAGGATTATAAAATAAGGCCCTGTCTAAATTTAAAAAAAAAACGGCTAAATATAGAACAGGCCCGTCATTCATCCGCACCGCACTAGGCCTTTCCAGTTTTATGCGAAGCCCAAAATTGAAAATCCCAAATCAGAATTATCTTTCTGCTTCGTCGTCGAGTTGTGCAAAACCCCCAAAAGTAACCAATCCCAATTCTCAACCTAGCAATCGCAGCAGGCCTCTTCGGCTCCTCCATCTTGCTGCCGGGCGGACGGCTCAGCCGCTATTCATCAAGGTAAATTAATCCTAAGATTAAAATTTTAATTTCAGCTTGTGTTGAAGTTTTTTGACCTAGGTGGCTACTTCCAGATTTAATTACTGATAATGTATGCTCAAAACTTGATATTTGTTCCATTGTTTAGTATTCTGATTGATAACTCGTGATAATATGACGGGAAATGTCGTTTAAAACTCATTATATAATGATTACAAATCCATTGTGCTAAAAACTTGATGTTAAAAACTTATAATATGATTGTGATTTGTGTGGATGAATATTAATCTTATTAGTATTGAACTAGTAAACTATTAAATTAGTATCATTTTTAGTATTAATGTCATTATTTGGACGTTTAGTATTAATATGATTGTAGTTTTTGAGAGTATTAATCTAATTGTTTAGCATTAATCCCATTAGCTTCTGTTAGTATTAGTCCTATAGTTTTGAATATAGACTGTTTTACGATTGTGTAACTTATGATACGATGTGGTGGATTGTAGTAGAGTTAAATATTTTGAAGAAGATAATGAAGATATCATTATCAAGCTACATCTTTTTTAAATCTGTATTTGAAAACCCCAACATTTATGGACTTGTGATGCTTTTTTTTAACCTGGGGGATAAAAATGCATTCTTGTAAGCATCAATAATATTTATGTTAATATTTATTTTTTATGCAATTGGAATTATATTATGTATATGAAAATTTTGGCCCCACCTGAATTGAAATGCTAGATCCGCCCCTGAACTCACCAAGAGCCACTGAAAACAGATATAGAAGAACTGAGAGGAGGCCTATTCCGATGCCGGCTCCTAAAAAAATTATATGTAAGCTGCTACGGTGCTGCTACGGTGCTACCTGCTAAAGCTTAAAAAGTTCTAATGTTCATTTTTAAATTTCCACAAATCATTTTTCCTATTTGCAAGCTTAGCTTAGACCTTTTTCTTACTCATTTAAGTGGCAACTCCTTTCCAAAAAATCTTTTGATTTTGGGAAAAGGTGCAAATAGGCCCATGTACTAACCAAAAAAGGTCGAATAAGCCCTTATTTAGGAGGCTCTGTCCGGACGTCGCCATTTGGAGTGGTTCCCGGTGGAATTTTTTGATGAAATTTTTTGAGCATCTTATTCATGAAGTCTAGTTTACTCATACCAAATTTCAGCTAAAACTTCAATCGGGAAGGCATTCATATGGATTCTTGAAAATAACTGCGCAGTTATCTTCAAGAATTCATTTGAATGTCTTCCCGATTAAAGTTTTAGCTGAAATTTGGTATGAGTAAACTAGACTTCATGAATAAGATGCTCAAAAAAATTCATCAAAAAATTCCACCGGAAACCATCCCAAATGACGACGGTCGGACAGAGCCTCCTAAATAAGGGCTTATTTGACCTTTTTTGGTTAGTACATGGGCCTATTTGCACCTTTTCCCTTTGATTTTAGATACTCCCTCCGGTATTTAATAAACTTCATACATTCCTTTTTGGGACGGTCTAAAATAAACTTCACACTTCCTTATTTCCTTTTTTGGCAAAGAAATCTACATCAAAACAGTGCCAAACAGTGCCGAACAGTGTCTCAACAGTGTCAAACAGTGTCTCTATAGTGCCAAACAGTGTCAAACAGTGCCTCAACAGTGTACTCTACAGTAAAGTCAAATTTCTTTCCTTATTTTGTGTGAAGTCAAACTGTGAAGATTAAAAAAAACCGGAGGTAGTATTAATTAATTAATAATTAATATATATAGATATAAAAAATTATTGGCCCTATAAGATTAATAGTCTGGTCCAGTGCCAGGCTGCCAGCCCACTGCCTAAAGGGAGGAACTTCCCGTAACCCAACCCGGCAGTTTCGTTCGGTGAATCGCAAGGAGGTAAGATCGCTGTCGGCCAGCCGCCGTCCCGCAGCCTCGCACGCGGCAGCTGCCTCACGCCGCCGCATCCCCTCACGCCGCACGACACTGCTGCGTGGTAGCTTGCTTCTCACAATCTCACTTTTCAGCTTGTGGCCTTGTGGGAGTTCTGGCTGAGTGGCTGGCTTCCGTAGCTCCGCTAATCGCCCCAGCCCTAGGAAACAGGTAAGTCATAAACTTACAACTCATATGTGTATTCCTTAATTTTTTTATATTTTAATTTAAGTAGCTAATAGCTAGAATCCACTCAAAATAATATACATGGAGTACTTCTTAGGGAGTACATAATCTAATAATCCTCTCAAAAATGTAGTTCATTTCTTGTGTTAAATGAATACATTTTTTCTATAGAGAAATGATTTAGTACAAATTACTTATTGTGACATTTAGATGAATTACAACAAGCCACTAAAGTTGTTTCCAGAAGTGATGAAGTCTCGTGGGCGTTTGCTTGGTTTAGATGTGGGCTATAAGTATGTTGGTCTGGCTGTTTCTGATTTTGAAAACAAAATAGCATTACCATTGAGGTAATCCAGTTTCTGCAAAACCTTTGACTTTGACCTTTACCTTTTCCAGACATATTTATGTTTAGGATTATGGATTCTTTTATTTAATAATGTTGATTTAGTAATGTTGATGTTTGCAGTGTGCTGGTTCGCAAAAAATCAAATATTGACTTGATGGCCACTGATTTCCAGTCTCTTGTAAGAATTTTCTACTCAAATAGCTTATTTTGTCACTTTATGAGGCAAGACTATTCAACTAAGAGATGTTTTGTGTGTACTGGTTATAGATTCTGTTTTAAAGGGTAACATTTGACATTTGTAAATTACTGACTACAACATTTATTATTTTGGGCTCTACCATTGGTGGTTTGATGCTTTCGCTGAGTATAAGTAGCTATACTTGAACATTTTTCTTACAGTCTGCCGTGCGCTCTCTGTTCGTGTCACAAATAAAATTTCTTTATTCCTAGAATTGAACACATTTTACTTTGCATTTGCTTTTCCAAAGGTAAACGAATCTTGATGAAAATAAAATAGAAGTCCTTAGAATTTGCCTCCTTCCCCTACCATTTCCCAAAATTCATAAATTGTAACGTACTCCTAAGAATGTATGATACATTTCTATCAAACATGATCTTTTCTTTTTGGCCTGCGTCAACGACACACGTGCATGCCTCAATAATGGATATTATTTCCCATTTAAAGTTATTACTTCAGTTGAAGTTTAGTGTGTTATTTGTAAAATGACCATTTTGATGGCTTATGTGCAATAATCACTATTAGTATTGTTATAATAAAAACAATAATTAATAGGGAAAAATAATTAAAATACCCCAAACTTTGAAGGGGTGTGTGGTAAGCACCCCAAACTTGCATATGTAATTTAAATACCACAAGCATTAAATAAAAAGTTATTTTAACACCATGAGCATGTATTATTTCTTTCAAAAATGTAAATTTATGATGTTAATTGCATAATTTAAAATAGCAAATTGAAAATGTTGCAATTATAAAGAGTGGGGGCTAATACTATTTAATTTACAATGAAAGTTTAGAAAGTTGATTGTATATTCATGAATGCTAAAATATTTTGAATTATAAAATCAACACCAAAGATTCATTATTTTTTGGCTTGAGAATATGATAGAATAAAGCAAAATGGCTCACTAAACTTTCTGCACTTCGTTGTTATGAAGCAGCAGTCAGCCCATGCAATTTTGGACGCGATTTTCACAATGGGTCGTCCGGAAACAGTGTCTCTGTGCTTTAGTACAGGCAAGGTTGTGAAACTCGAGATCCTAGCTCGGATCGGTGGGGGGTGAGGAGATCGTAACTCGTGGATCGTAACTCGAATCGTAAGATCCTAAAAGCAAAGATATCATGCATATATATAATATATATTTAAACTTAAAATTTCTGAAATATGAATAACAGAATAACATACTGTCATTTTTGAATTAAAAGTTCAAAACACTTAGCATAACAAACTTAAGATAAATGAAAAAAGACATCCTCAAACAAAATCATGCAGGTTAAAAAAGATCATCTAGCATGGCATCTTCATCTTCAACAGGAGGAATCTCTAAATCATCAGTTGTTGAATCACCAAGACCACCAATGTTTTGAGCATTTTCTTGAACGTCAACATTGAGCTCCTCATCATCACCAGCATCCATCTCAATCCTATCATCATCTTCATCCACAATCCACTCATCATCTGAAGCTAGATCGTCAACATTATAATCTTTTCCTTTTCTCCTCCGTTTGTTGGTACCCAGCCTTGAATTAACCATCACAAAAACAACATCGTTCATCGTCTTTTGCTTCAAACGGTTTCTCCTTTTCGTGTGCACCATCTGGAATCACTCCAGTTACGTTCACACCCGGATGAACTGCATGTCAAGCTCAAAACTCGAATGGCAAACTTTTGGAGTTCAGGATGCTCATCCCCGTATGATTCCCACCACTGGGCTGGAGTTTTTGTTTTAAGTCCTTGTGTAGCAATAGCACTTCCAAAAAACCCCTTTTTAGCTTTAAAATCTTCAAGTTGCGCATCAATCTTACTAATTTCATCAAGATCTCCCACCAACCTTTGTAAGCAATCATATAGCCCCTTCTTAACCTCAAAATCAGCTTTAAAATTCGGGCCATAATGTAACATGGGATTAAGATAATATCCTGCCGCATGCAATGGTCTATGCAACTGCTTGTCCCACCTTTCGTCGATGATGTCCCACAAAGGAATGTAGCTAAAAAAAAGTAATCATTAATTTTTTTAAAGTTATTTATAGTATGTAATTAACAGATCATAAACTAAAAAATGTTAAGTAATTTGTTTATTTACCTCCTTGAAGTATTTTTGAAAGCCTTTTGAATGTTCTCTTTCGCTTTATCCATTTCCTCATAAATAAATCCCATAGCCGGCTTTTCATCTGAATCCACTAATCGTAGCACCTTAATTAATGGATATGCGCCTCTCAAACAATTGAGAATATTCTTCCAAAACTCTTTATCCATTATCAAATCTTCCACCGTTTTGTCATCTCTAATCTTAGAAAATGGACTAGACTTCCACTCATCCGACGTCACCATTCGTACCAACGGCCCCTTATTATCATGCAAACATCCCAATGTTAAATACGAAGGGGCAAATCGAGTCATGCCAGGTCTAATCAAATCACGGCCCTTTGTAAATTTATGCAATAAACAAATGAGACCCGTACGAGAATAAATATACGTCGTGATCTTCTTTCCAGAGGCAATTGTGTCATGATGTAATGGAAGTTTCTTCTCGAAATCTTCCAACATCAAATCAAGACAATGAGCGGCGCACGGCGTCCAATACAAATTCTTCCTTTTTTGCATCAAGAGATCTCCAGCAGCCTTGTAATTTGTTGCATTATCTGTTACAACTTGAAGAACATTTTCCTCTCCAACCTCTTCAACGACCTCATCCAGCATCTTTTCAATTTTGTCAGCCGTTTTAGAAATCTCAGATGCATCAATAGATTTCAAGAAAACGGTACCTCTAGGACTATTCACCAAGAAATTTACTAATGTCCTCTTTCTCGTATCTGACCACCCATCCGCCCTTATGGTGCATCCCGTTTTTTTCCACGAGGCTTTGTGCTCCTCGACAATTTCTTTAGTCTTTTCCACATGCTTTTTTAAGTACTTCACCCGTACTTCATGATATGAGGGTGCCTTGAATCCAGGACCATGTTGGGCAACAAGATCAAACATCTTTTGAAACTCCGGGCTGTTAGCAACATTGAAAGGAATAGCATTGTTATAAAAAAATAAACAAATTGCATCACATGCTTCTTCCCTTATGTTCTTCTTGAATATAGAGTTTATCGTTGTTTGAGTGCCTGCTCTTCTCTTGAAGATGTTACTGGAATCATCCATTTCCTCCTCTCTTTTTCGTTTCTCGTGATCATCCCCTCCATCTTGACAGCTCTTAATATTGGATTTTCGTTGTAATGCCACCATTATATCCCACATTTCTTTTTTAATTTCATCACTCACGCTTCTGCAAGGTGCCACATCTTTATTCGTTCCTGCCAAGTGATGCTTTAAACGGTAAACCCCTCCTGTAAACACCTTCTCACAGTATTTGCACTGAATTGTTCTCTTATCCTCACTCATTGGTATCCCGTGCTGCCACCCGACATCATTACCCTGCCCAACACTTTTTTTGTTCACTCTTCCAGAACCGCTTGCCATAGCTATCAAGAAGAAGGTGAGTCGCTGAAAAAATATTAAACGGAGAAGTGGAGACGCAATTACAGAGCGACACCCCAAAGTCTTTTTATAGAACTGAATAACTAAAGATGAAGAAGATGAGTCGCTGTTGGAGTCTGGTCGCTCATGTACGTCGCTTGGGGAGTTGGGTTGCGTAAATGTTTTTTTTTAAATTCAAAATCGAGTCCTTTGCGATTTCCGACTCTCAGATAACTCTCAGAGTCGTTTCAGATTTCCGACCAGTTGGGTACTTGGGTCGTTTCGATGGCGAAGATCGTTATAGATCGACGATTATACGAGTTTACGATCAAACTCGTCGATCCGGCGAGTTAGCTGTAATTTCCGATCTCCTCTGCGATTCAACTCGTCCCAGGTGCCTGAACGCGTAGAATCGTACGATTCAACGATCTTACTCGCGATCTTTACAACCTTGAGTACAGGATTAAGACTGCGTACATCCGACCCCCCTTACCACACCGTAGGTGGGAGCCTTTGCGGCACTGGGGTAAATGAAAATGATGATGATAAAATCAACACCAAAATTAACATTTTTGAAAGAAATAATGCATGACCATGATGCTAAAATAACTTTTTATATAAAGCTTGTGGTAGTAAATTACATATGCAAGTTTGCGGTGCTTACCTCACAGGCTCACACCCCTTCAAAGTTTGAGGTATTTTAATTATTTTTCCCTAATTAAGATTATTAGTATTCTATTTGATACATTCTGTGGGCAGGCTTTTAAACCTTATAAACACCTTTTGTTTGCCATTAAATCATTTTCTCTTGGTCATGTACAGATCTCTAGACTTTCTTTGGAGGGATTTGTTTTTGGCTACCCTTTTGATCGCCAAAAAAACAACCCCACTGTAGGTTTTATTTGTGTTTGTGTGTGCTTTTTGTAATTCTTTTTTGGTTTTTCTTTTCTAGAATTTGATTTATCTCCTCTTTGCTAGGCTGTGCAAGTTAAACTGTTGATTGATGATCTTTCTCAAACTGGGAAACTTGATGGTGTGAAATATACTTTTTGGGATGAAAGCTTCACATCAAAGGTATGCGACTTCCTTATAGGATTAAGTGTAACACTGGCCTTTATGACATCCAAAAGTATATGTTTGTTACTTTGCCAGTTCTTTTTATTCTTCTGCCCTCTTCTCCATCCCCAAAAAGAAAAAAAGAAAATAAGAAAGAAAAGAAAACTAGTTATGATATGCAGCTTTTAGTTATTGAGATCTTTTCCTTTTCTTTATTTTGGATTGAATGATATGCTAATTCATGTGTTAGACTAGAGTATGACTTTGGAAGGAGTGAAATGGACGGAGAGCATATTTATGTTGAAAATTGATCTCATTTTGTTTCTCCTTTTTTCCCTATTTGTTTTTTTTTATCTTCGATGTCATATGTCGGTTCATGTTTCCGACCAAAAAATATTTTGGGATTAAGGCTTTGTTGTTGTGGATCGAGGTTGTACTCTTAGGGCACACTTCACTAATTTATACGGAGTATGAATTAGTTGCTGTCTATGTTAGGTGGTTGGCTAATTGTAAAAACCAGAGTATTTTCAATAGGAATGGAGAAAGAGATGAGAAATATAGTGGATGATTAGTTTTGTTTGCTTTAACAGAGAAAACATGGTAAAATTCGTGGCAAGAAGTAATTTGGAGCCTCAACAAACATTAATAAAAAATGGAATCTAGCTGGAATCCACTCAAACTATAAAAGTAAATAAAGAAGATACACTGAAAGATTAAAATGAAAGGATCAGCTAGATGATGACAAAATAAATGAAAGCTGCAAGCTGGAAAAGAAAGAAGTAAAGAACAGTAGCAGTATCTCTTCTGTTCCTAGTAGCTCCCGTAGCAATACCAAGGCCTCCAGAACTACTAGGTATAGCAGTAGCACCATGACATCTTTTCTTTGAACTTCTCACAATTAAACTAAATCTACACAGAAGTATTATAAATAACATGACTAAGGAAGCGAAGTAAAACCTTTACCAGTTAGAATACATGAACAACAGTTCTGTAAAAGAAGGATAAGAAGCAGTGAAGTAGAAGAAGTGAAGGAGAGGAGTTGAATAAGAATAGGAGCAAGAGAAGGGGATGAAGAAGATAGGAGAAGAGAAATTATTTACTGAACCTTCTCGTCCGATTCTTCGGTGATATACTATTGTTCGTAGATTGGACTATAACAGAATGTGGCGATGTTAGTGCTGAATCATTTATATATGTATGAATGTATCTTAAGTCAGTTTGATGTTTCTGAGTTTCAATTTGGTCTCAGAGTGTAGAGATGTTATTGAAGCCTTTAAATTTGCACCCTGTTCAGTCGAAGACCATATTGGACAAATTTGCTGCTGTTGAAATACTTCAGGTAACAACTATGTTACCCTTTCCCCACTTATTTTTACCCTCCCCCATTTATTTTAGCCATCAATAAGAAGAAAATGACTCAAAAATGATATTAGTACAAAGTAGTTCTATGAATCTAAGAGCCTATTTGGAAGGCATGGATTGGATGCAGTTGATAAAGTTGTGGTGAAACGGATAGAATTGACTCAGCTTAAATTTGCTGAATTATCCAACGAATCTATTTAAACGTATAAATTTAGACAAGTTTAAGGGAAGAATATTAAAAGTAAATATTAAATGTATGGATTTCAATAATTTTAGCCAAAAAGTAACTCCTTAGTCTTTCCCCGTGTTTTTACATTTCAGCCAGTTCCGGTTGTTGCAGTGGAATACATTAGTCTTTAGTAAAAACTACTCCATGATAAGGCTAATACTCCAATTATGAAATCCAAAACATAATAGGCAGGGGCTTCCAAAACATGGCAGTAATTACTCCTATTTAGGAAATAAAAACATGATAGTACTATTTTGTAATACACAAACTTTTACTCTTATTGAGGACAATTTCCCTTTGTGTTACACTTTTACCAGATGGCAGATGCTCTAGCACATTTTAGCGCCCATGTGGGTTAGAATTGTACGTTTCTAATTTGGATGTAATAATTTCTTTGATTGGAGCAGGGGTACTTGGATTTTGTAAACAGAAGTGATCGGCTAAAGTTACAAAGTGGCAATGCTAATTCTTCAATAAGAAGTGATGGGGGAGAATGAAGAGCAGCCATCTCTTGTTATTGAACCTTCAATGCGTAAGTTCATGTTTGGTTGGTTCAAACATGATACAAAGAAGATGTCCAGATACAAAGTCAAATTGAACAAAGTCCAAAGAGGCAAAGATATGCTTGGAGGAGGTGAAAGCGGTGATTTATGATTTATGAGAGGAAATAATTGGGGTCCAGGCTGATGTTTGTTATGTCAAAGCAGCTTTGCATTCTCATATTGAAGAAATTAAGAATTTTAGGTATTTAGGTGGAGTTGTAATGGTTGCAATCATAGCAATTTGTATGTTCATTTTGATAGTACGAGTGAATCGATGGAGTTGTAATGTAGCTTATGTAGCATGTTTGTGCTCATATTTGTTCTCCTGTGGTGATTCATTGTAAGAATTGTCCTGAGAATTATAAAAAGGATTGAAATAAATTATTTGTCATCATCATTATCCCAGTGCCACAAAGGCTCTTCACTTACGGTGGGTTAAGGTAATAAATTATTTGTGTTGCATATAAATTATTATTTGTCCTATCTTATGTTCAATTCTGCATTTGTCCTAGACTTTCATATATTTTCATGTTTATTTATGCATTTTTCCTCTTTGGAATGGCAAGATGTAATGCCAAAATTAACCAAAGTTTGATGGATTTTGAGTTTTTGACCCAGTCGCCTCTCACTTATGGCTGGACTCGGGCCCGGTTCGGGCCTGGGCCCGGCCGGGCCTCGGGCCAGAAAATTGGGGCCCGAGCCCGAACCGCCGGTGGCCGGTTCCGGTTCAGGGTTCCGGGCCAAACCGGTCCTTTTTTTTTTTTTGGTTATCCTATTTAACCCCTACCCCTCCCCCTCAACCCCAAACCACCCCAAACCACCCCAAACCACCTCAAATGGCCCAAAACACCTAATCCAACCCAAAACTTAAAAAAATTTCAAAAAAAAAATATTAAAATCCGGCCCGGACCGGGCCCGAACCGGCCGGGCCGGGCCTGAACCGGCCGGGCCGGGCCCGAACCGGCCGGGCCGGGCCCGAACCGGCCGGGCCGGTTCGCCTAAAGCAGGGCCCGAGCCCGGACCGCCCATCACCCGGGCCGGGCCAAACCGAACCGCTGGACCCACCGGGCCCCGGGCCGGGCTGGGCCAAATAGTAACCGGGCCGGGCCGGTTCCGGGTCGGGCCGCCCGGCCCGAGTCCACCCCTACTCTCACTGAGTGTGAAATAGATGGTGTTAAGGTTCATCCTATCTCACCCATAGAGCAAGAACGTCAGAGGGATGTCGTGGTTTAATCGCTTGAAGTAGCTTTCATGTTTGGACAGTTTTTCGGGCTCTCATACTTGTCTATAATAAATCTACTTCATCATCTAAACTAAAGAGGTAAATGATTGTGTATAGATAGATATATATGTCTTTTATTTAATTTTGTGGAAACTGTTGTAGAACACTTCAATATTTTGAAACCCTAGCCTTATATCACTGACACTTGATTGATTAAGATTTGAAACAGGGCTTAGGGGTTTGACTTTCCTCAGTATTTTGGGCGCAAAGGCTTCCATACTATTCTTGGTTTGGGCATCACTTGCTCAGGTCATATTGCTGTAGAAACTGTGAATGGCTGCTGTCTGTATATTTACATGGTGTTTGTCTTTCTACTTTTCGCATTCAAAGCTGTTGTCTTTGTAGATGTCTATTTATATATAAGAAAGGAGATAGCTCCTTAAAAGACATTTTTATCCCTCTAAAATCCTACGTGCTAGCCTCTCCCATTTTTACGCCCTTCACCTCTTACGGCCACGTGGCTTCCTGTTCTGTAAGCGTGATGTTCACGACGAAAAGGCCACTGCTTCATCATCCCAACAAAGGCTTCCTCTTTCCATCTAAAAATCTTCCGCACTCATCTCGCCCTGCGTTTTTTTCCCGCGATGATTGCTTGCATATAGGTTTCTCCATCTCTAATCATAGGCGATAAATCCGATAATATAGTGCCCGGCTCTTTCAGCCAATGTATGAGACCTCCAAATAACACAGCCACTATATATAGATGTCGATCGACATTAGGGCTTCATACTTCTACTACCCGAGTAGCACAGGTACTTTCTCTAACCTAATTCTTCATTTCTCCAATTCATTGTTCTCTAGATTACGGAATAATATTGGCTGGCTCTATTAAACAACTCTACTGCAGATCATGAAGATGATTTTCTAAGATAATTGAATGCCAATTATTTAAAACAATATTGCTTCTTTCCAGTTTTATATGTATTTCTGTGTTAGGTTTACTTTTCTACCACATCAACACAACTTTGCTTGCACAAAATCTGGGGTGCCGAAGTAGCAGAGGCACAAAATTCCCCGTTTCACAATCTTGGGTGACATTTCATCTGTTTCATGATTCTATGTGAATATAGCTTCAGTCTAGCTTTGATCATATTTTGCACATGTGTTGTTTGATAAAATGTTTATGTGTGTATGTCACTCATATTTATGGCTTAGCTAATCTAAAATATGATTTGTTTGGTTATTGCCTATTTTGATTGAACTGGTTTTGCTTTGGTTTTTCAGAACTAAAATTTTACATAATAACAAATAATTAGAATGTCAGTGGTGAGGTGCAATTTTTTGTTCTCTTGTGTAAATTGCCTGTTTTTGTTTTTCTTAAAATGGCATACGTAAGCATCTTTTGCCAATCCTTCAAATGCGTTTTTTTTCTGTTTTAGCCAGTTTGTTTTATTATTATTCTGTCATTTTCTTTTTCTTTGATATGATCCATGTCAATTGATGTTTAAAATATAATGAAGTATATAGATGGGCGTTGCTCCTTTTTTTTTAGGAAGCCTGCTAATTAGCTTCAACATAAGAATATATCAACATCAGATTACTTTCAATGGATACCAGATAATCTATTTATATATGAGAAAAGAATAGGCTGTTTAAAGTACATTTCTACCCTCCATTCCAACGTGTCCTCCTAGGCTGAATTCACGCTGCTTCTATTAGCGATCCACCATCCACGTGTCTTCCTCCTTTTGAAGGAGAAGAAAAATCACCGATTCCAAATTAAGAGCCTGCGTAGAAATAAAAGCCAGAAGCTCACGCCATTTTCTTCTCCTATAATTCCTCAATGGGATTGGATCAGCCGCCGGAGAGCTTGCCATGTATGTATAACACGTCTTTTGCTCTCCATCCACGAGATTACCGCATTTTTATAGCAATACCCACCAATGATTGTTTGTAAAAGACTTTTGACTTTATCCTATATATCATACTCCTGAGTGGGTGTATCACAAAATACTGATTTTTTCCTTAGAGTGGCATAGGTAAGCATATTTTTCCATTAATTGAGTGTATCTTTTTTCCTGTTTTAGATAGTCTGTTATATTTTATTCTGTCATTTTCTTTTTTAGTTCATCCATGTCAACAAGCTCACCTTTTTCAAAAAAATGCCATTAAAAAAATCTAACATTTATATCTTCATTTTGAAATAATAGGACATTATTATATAGACTCCCTCATCAATGCATTATGAACACAGAATATTTATAATGGACAACAGGTAAGGTCTATATAAAAACCTGTATAAGTTTACTCTCCGAATATGAAAGTGATGTTTTGTAGTTTTGACAGTGACCTTTCCTATATGAAATTTGTAGAGAATCACTTTTTAACAATATTTGTTGACTAATATTTGTTTAAACACACACACACACATGAATCTATTCTGCTACATATATTGAAGCCCAATCAAATCGATATTAGCCAATCAGTAGGTGAAGTGCAATTTTTAACGCTGTATATCTTTCTTACATAGTGAGGACTACTTAAAGTCCATATCTAAGACATGTTCGTGTGGATGTATGTATAAGAGGAAACTGATTTTAAGCTCAAAAGGAATTGAAATATAAGAAGAAGAATACATTGAGTGAGTGGATGTATAACAAAAAAAAACTTAATTTTGGAATAGCTGGATCTGTTTTTCAGTCCTTCAAATGCATCTATTTTGTTCAACCTTTTTTTTTCTGTTTTGTCGTTAGGCTCAAAAGGAACTGCAATTTAACAAGAATGATTCATTAGTTTAAGTTATTTTTATCTTTCAACTGAATCTTTAGTTTTTTAAAAAAAGCTGCCTATTTTGTTTGGACTAATTATTTAGTTTACTGCTTTAGTAAAAAGCTTTTTTCATATGTAGCCTAGAAATGAAGAGAATAAGAAAGTATGAAAAAGAGAAACAAGTGACTAACTAAAAGAATCAGTATGCATATTGTATATTCTTAAAACACTTTTAGGCAATCACAAATTTAGCTGTAAGAAAAAGTTATCTGTTTTTGTCTTGACAGTTCTTTCCCTATATGAAAGTATGAAATAGAGAACTACTTCTCAGCAACTTTGTGTGAGTACTTCTCAAAAACTGAGAAAAAGATATTGCTTCTTTAGCTTATGATTAAAAACTGCCTATTTTTTTGGACTGATTCTTTAGTTATTGCTTTAATAAAAATGCTTTTTTTATATGTAGCCTATAAATGATGAAGAATAAGAAGAAGCAAAAAGAGAAGCAAGGAACTAACTAAAAGAATCACCATGTATATTCTATATTCCTAAAACACTTTTAGCCAATTAGAAAATTATGAGAAAGTTATGTTTTTTATGTCTTGACAATTGTTTTCCTACATGAAAATAGGAAATAGAGAGCCACTTCTCAGCAAATTTGTGTCAGTACTTCTCAAAAACTGATAAAAAGAAACTGGTTTGTTTAATTTTTTTTATTCAACTGATTCTTTACTTAATGTTTACGAACTGCCAAATTTGATTGGACCGATTCTGTACTTTATTGCTTTAGTAAAAATCTTTTTTTCAACTCCTTATTCTACACATGAAGAAGAATAAGAAAGTAGGAAAAAGATAAGTAAGGGACAAACTAAAAGAACCAGTATGTATATTGGATATTCTTAAAACAGTTTTTGGCATACATTCAGTTTTAAGAATCTTCTTCATAGCGGTCATTCTCATACTTCTTCTTTTTGTGCACTCTCGGTTGCCCACCATTTTTTTTTGTTAAAAACTATTGAAAGTGATACAGACCAAATCAATCCAAGTTTGCAGAAATAGGGAAAAAGAAGTGCATTTTCTCTTCTTACTACCACTTATGTGCTCAAGAATCTTACCTCAAGTAAAAAAAAAGTTGATATCAATGAACCAAGATGCCATATGCCTGCTTTTTTTTATATGAACCTTTCTCAAGTTTATAAGGCTATAAGAACCTTTCTTAAGAACCTATAAGGCTATAAGAACCTTTCTGAAGTTTATAAGTGTGTGTAATGGATACCAGGTAATTAATGTATAAGTCATTCTCATACTTTTTTAAACTTTCTTAAACACATTTAGAAGTGATCCTATATTACTTTAATTGTGCATAGTGAGCTGTTTCTGTATTATAACTAAAAGTGTTACTATTGTCAAGTGTTCTGTGTTGGTATTACTACTGTTGAGTAGCTGTGTAATAGTATCAGACATGGAGAAGTCT